GACTCGGCAGATGGCCGGTTAATATCTATGTTATAAGGCACAGCGTTTCGCTTTTGACTCAAAAACTTCTTCAGACGAAGTGAATTAGCTTAAAATTGTGTGGTATTGTCTAACGATCATGTGTGTTACATACAGAGATTAATAACTTTTCAGTTCATTGGTAAAAGATTACAGCGGTCAAAGGTCACTAGGTTCGTGTGTACTCCGTGGTTTGTTTCAGCCAAGGTCAAATAGGAACAAAAATGCTGGTCAAAGTATAGTTACATGGATGGTAGAGAATCTTGTGGTCCGTTGGAAGGAACTTGGTCACTGATGGAATTTGTTTTCAATACTTTGGAAATTGGAAGAGGGAGTCCATTCAGACTGCAGATCCATTCTCCGCCGCTTATCAAACTGACCGGGGTAAAACTGGACACTAGGCACTAGATAGCCCTACTCCGTCTATTCTATTCACGCAGTTGTTAGTTTTGGTTATTTCTATAGCCCCAGCAATTAGCCTTATTGGGCTGATCGCAATCCCTTCCCGGTAACCTCGACATTTTCAAAATCAGTTTTGTGTATTGTGTACAAAGCATGCATTTTTAACACCGAATCTATTAGCAGAGCTCTATACTCTAGCTCGTTTCTTGAAGCTCGTGAAATGTGCGCTTATGTTCTGAAATTCTTATCCGTTCCCTCGTCGTTTGGCCTGTATACATCTGTGTACAACCTTTACATGGGATTTTGTAAATGCAGTTAGTTGTTCGCTTTAAGGTAAGGGAATCCTTCAAATGCACAAGCGTCGACCGCATCATTTAAACCGTTTGGAAAATTACCCTTATCTTCTCTTTATTCAGTACTCTCCGAATCGTTTACGAACTTCCTTCTTTATACTGAAAATCCACTGTCGCTGTCCACTCTGGTTAGTCTTGCGCATGGGTTGAGACATTTCTGTAGCTGTCATTTCACCAATCGCCTCGGATATTCGTTGGCTTCTAAGCTTTTCATGGTCTGCCACTACGCAGCTTTTTTCATCTTCTTCCTACGCGCACAGAGCACTTAATCTGTAAAACAGTGATGAGGCGATTTCCGCATAAATATGCTTTGGGTGACCTGCACTATAGCTAAGTATCCCATCTATGTCTATTGGATTGCGATCCATTCTTGTTTTTAACGTTCCTTCCTTCCTATGTACCAGACAATCAAGGAACGGGAGTGTACCGCCCTGCGACTCGAGTTCCATAGTACACTTTATCCCGTCGTCAATAGAGTTCAAATACTAAGAGTTCATCTTTGCTATTCCTTTTTATAATCGTCTTGACGATTATACCTGGCGACACGGAAATTTTGTATTGCCTTCTTCTCAAACTCTTCCATGTACACAGCTTGACCCTGTTCTCGAGTGTACATTCTCGACTGGAATGTGAACTAAGTCATGTCGAAGCACAAAGCTATACCATCGATCACTACTTGATCCACTGTAAGCTTTGTTCTGTACCCTAAGCTGCTGTCTTCTATCATGCAGCATCTCACTGATCGCGTCACCTCTGGGTACATTCGTAAACCAAGAGGTAACACCGAAGCTGTCCATTAAGTAATCTTGTTCAAAGGCCACACTTTTCACCATTCGTGACGATCGTACCTGTAACCACACTCTGACCAGCATTTGACCTTGGCTGAAACAAACTACGTCGGGCACATGAATCTAGTGACCTTTGACTGTTGTAACCTTTCACCAATGAACTGCAAACTTATTAATCTCTGTATGTAGCTTACTCATGATGGTTAGAAAGTGTCACTCAATTTTAAGCTAATTCACTTCGTCTGAAGAAGCTTTTGAGTCAGAAGCGAAATGTTGTGCCATATAACAGGTATGTTAACCGGTCATCTGCCAAGCCTTCTGCAGTATGTTTCTGCTTATTTTCGCACAATGCTTGATAACATATTTATTTTAATTTTCCTAATATTTGTCTATGCTTGTTTAACCATTTCGAATGTATGGATTTTTTCCAATTTAGGTGGGAATGCGGTTTTCCGCTTTTTAACCCAGTTATCTCACGAAAAGTTTTGCAAATAACCTATTATCCAAGTCAGATTATCATGCCATTAGCAACTTAACAACTGAAGTTTTGTTTCTCAAGTCAAACTCCATTCTCTGCGCAATTCAGAGGTCATGACGACATGCGTGGGTACTGGTTGTTTTGTATCCACAACCACGTATCTTCTCACGTGACTACTGCCATCCCCCATGGTCCAGGGGCTTTATCACTCATTGGAAAGTGTATACTACATGCTTCAGCCTCCCACCAGACAGATGGAATGCTGGTTGTTAGCGAATCCCGAACGGACAAAGAAGCCGCAGTTGTGATGACAATCTCGATGTCCACTTCTGGAAGGAGTCCAATTTGAAACGACAATTTTGCGTTTTCTCTTGTGGAGTGGCATCGTTTACACTATTCCGTGTGAACGCGATTCGTATGTAGGAAAGATGCGCTGCCAAGCCTTGTCATATAATGTTTTGGCATCCACGGCCTTCTCTTATCTTTGTGCTTAATGAACTAATGTTCTCACGGATCTCAACAAATGACCAAACGCAACGAGTTAGGTAAAAGCATTTGCAAAAGATACGAAGATGTCACAGTTTAGCAATTGCGGAACTAACGCTCAGTGGCTGGCTCGTAGCCGAAGCAAAACACGTCAGGCACACGGAAGGCAGAACTATGTTCTACTCAGCATGTCGTGCAACGCGTCGATCCAGTATTCTAAATTAAGCCAATCTATGAGTGGGTGGGCGGGTTACAGACACATGTTATCTGACGCAAGCAACGGATAGGAAGGGCTCAATACATTGGCCTTTACTTTGGACCACTCAAGCTTGCTTGATATCGATCGAGGGGTCGTCGTAGCCGAGTTGAACGACGACATTGCTGAGCTTCCGTTTGGCCTGAATTTTGTGGCTTCTGCGCCATCGTCAACTCAGTATGCTGGTTTGAGGACTCGTCATCTGGCAGATCTGAAACGATACGATGGCTGACTTGACCCTTGTGCCGAATAACTAATCTACCATCAGGTAAAGCCACCTTCGTATGTTATCCCGCAACTTCGCGCAACTCTCCAGACTGCCAGGTCGGTTCATTTGGCAACTTGACCTAGACCGGTTCATTCTTGCAGAATCTTCCTTCGGAAGGCTTCTATTCGTACTCTGTCATATATTTATCTTGCTTAGCCTCGACACGTAGTCTCTGGTCAGAAAACAGCAGATCCAACCGTCTCCTCAAACTCCGTCCGAACATCAGCTCTCCTGGGCTCTTCCCCTTAGTTTCGTTTGGCGTGGGGCGGTAGCCAGACAGAAATTCTTCCAATTTTGTTCGCAGTGGAGCCGACGGTTATTTTCTTAACCCGTTTTTGACCGTCTGGACTCCTCTTTCTGCCAACCCGTTTGAAGTTGGGTGGTATGGGTCTGCTTTTACATGATGTATGCCGTTGCTTTTGAGGAACTCTTGAACTGCTTGACTAGTAAACACGGAACCATTGCCTGTTACCATCGTATGTGGTATACCGAAGGTACTGAAATACTTCCGCATGCAAGAAACGGTCGCCTCAGAAGTGGCATGTGAAAGTGGAAAAACTTCCCACTTCAAGTAAGCATCAGTTAAGAAGAGGAACATTTTTCCATCCAACGGGGCAAAGAAGTCTACGTGTACGCGTTCCCAATGCTTACTGGGCCATTTCCAAGGACTAAGTGGTACCATCGGGGCGTTCGTCTAAGTGCTCTGACACACGTCGCAGTGTCGGATCAACCCTTCCCCGTGTGGGTTCGAATCCCACCTCCGTTGCCAAATGTCGCAGTTTAGCAATTGCGGAACTAATGCTCAGTGGCCGGGTCGTAGCCGAAGCGAAACAGGTCAGTCGCCTGGAAGGTAATATTATATTCTAACCGGAGTGTTGTACATCGCATCGATTCAGTATTCTAATTTAGGCCAATCGATGAGTGGGTGAGCGGGTTACATAGATATGTTACCAGATGAAGGCAACGGATAGGAAGAACTCAGTACATTGGACGTGGGGATGCCACAGAATACGAACGCAGCGAAAACGGATCTGACTGTTTGGTAGCCAAATGTTCTCGACAATTTTTCGCACTTCTATGACTGATGTTCCGCTCGGTTACTTTTGGTTAACTCTAAATCAATCAGTCTCAAGCCGGGTTCGACTGGTGCCAGGACTTCCATGTTCGGCGCTCACCACCTTGGGGGTGTTCAGCTCAACTGCTGCTACTCTTGCTTTGTAGTCTATACTTTAGGCGTCTAAACCTCTTAAACCCATTTATTCCATAACGTTGTGGGTTGGTTTTGCTTCTGAGTGGCTTGTCACAGGCTACACAGACTACAGCCTTACTTATTACTCGCGAATGTCGCCTACCGGAACTGTGGGTACATCTGGGGTTTTCCGCATCCATTTTGGTTCTGTAATTTCTACGTGTTGCACATTACCTTTGCACATTACTTTTGCGATTGGCAGTTTGGGTGCCATAGATAGCTCTGCACTGTATTAATCGTGTACCCTTAAAAATCACATTTCCATGTTTACTTAACGTTAAATGGTCCGATTGGTATTTTGCAGGCGCAAAGCATCATGTGACATTATCCGCTCCACGACACGTCGGGTCTGCTACCTATGCATATTTTGCTAGCTCAGTTGCTAGTCAGTTGCAGCTTTTTATGCTTAATATCAGCCTTTATGGGAACTGATTGCGCGGCGCAAAGATACGACCCCTTTGCCGGCCACTTCGAGAACGATTGAATTATTCTGTAATGCTCACTCTTCGCTCACTCGCTCGTCTGTGTTTCGGTCGTCAAGCAACCGCTAGTCCATGAATAATGAATTCGAATCTGCACCTCTAACCAGACTACTTGGTCTGCACTTTGGGTTAACGTAGTACCCATATTTTTTCATCGCTAACCATTCGCGACGCTTATATGGGCCAACCACCAACCCATCTACTTCCCATCCCGTTACAGTTACGGTGACATTGTTCCTACCACGATTGTTGGGAAAATCTTCGGCGGCATCTGTTCCCTGTCTGGTGTCCTGGTGATTGCCCTTCCCGTTCCTGTCATTGTCTCCCACTTCGCGCGCATCTACCAACAAAATCAGCGAAATGACAAGCGTGAAGCGCAAAAAGTGAGCGACTGTTCGCTTTGTGTGTTTGCCATTGTAGCTGATGTCTGTGCACCAAGTTCAGAAAGAAATCCCAATAAACGTGCACTGTAAGCCGAATCCCTTTGTTTGCATTCCGGTTCCCCTTTGCGAGGACGAGTTCATGCTTTTGCTGATTTGTTAAGCTGATGTTTTGCACATGCTGGTGCGCCGTGTCAAAAAGTGGACTTTTCTGTCACTATGTTGCTTGTCACCACCAAATGCCTTTTACACATTCCTTTCCTTTATGTGCTGACATAAAACAGGTAGGTACAACAGCCTCCAAATCCCATCTCAACTTACGTTCATATAGAAATAACCAACACCATTTATATCACTTCCTTTCGCCTGGCAACTTCCACTCTTGGTAGGTTACATTTCACTGTCTGAACCTCGCGCTTTCTGTTATGCCGAGGCGCTGCGCATTGGTTCCAGTTTGCAAGGCAAACTATTAACCGTAATGGTTGAAATATATGTCCATCGAAGCCGCTCACATCTGTGTTCGTGTGTTATACGACATATTATTCGGCTGGAGACACCTATTACATTATTTACTATAATCGTCTTACCTAAACAGCAGTGCTCTTTGATTCTCCCGTTTTTCCTTCTGCACTGTCTTCGGTTCCACCGTAGTTTCTCATGCAAACTACCCACAGTGCCTCCGATCTATCACCTTGACTTCCAATCGTTAGGCATGGAATCTGCACTTATCTTTCTGTGCGGCTCAGTGCGCGTGCAGGTCTAGGCATCGGATTTTTTAACATTTTATTGTTGACCACGAGTGACCACGTATTGTTTTGTGCACTATTATTTGACTGTTGCTTCTGTACCATTCACGTGAACCACGTGAACCAGTGTTTTTATGTGGTTTCCTTACGCACCCATCAATCAGTAGTTCCGAACTGGGACACAGCGCATTTCCCCAACGAGCCGTAATAGTAACAGATAATCAGCGGCATGCTTGTGTTTGATATCTACTTAGTGGAAGTTCTTCGCGTTGGTCTGAAACTGCCTCGCACATTATGTCAGTAATTCATCCAAAATTTATTATTTACCGGCCACACACTAGTCTGGACATGTTTTCAGCTATGCCTCTGTCATCGCTAAACTTTAGTTGTTTGTATACAACACACAAGGCAGGTATGTTGCGCCTACGCTTGACTGTCGCGTTGGGGCTGGGGATCCTGCGATGTCGCCTAGCATCTACGCGGACTTCTGAATTGTACGACCGTTGCCCTACCCTTTCCAAAATCGGCCGACCTGTCGTGTCTCTCCTGCACGAACTTCTATTTAGTAGGCAAATCGATATTCCATCGCTATGGACTGTATGCTGACGTACATGACAATATAAAAATTTAGGTTGCAAGCTCTCTGTGGTGTCGCCTGCACTTAAGACAAGGGGTCATATGCGTCCTCCGATCTCCTTTCTAGAAATGAACCATTTTGAATTTCACTATGAGGGATCTTCTGACACGGTCTTGCTACCCACTTGCTGAGCACCTCAAGGTGGAACGATGGGAGCTAGTCGCTGTTTCACAACTACATAACCATAACGATTCCCCCACGCGACTCAGCACATGGAACTGACGGAGTAGTCATGGTTTTCATAATAAATATAGGCGCTCTTCTGGTCCGGAATGATCACAAGACGCTGCTGTTCGCTACACTGAAAAAGTTCATATCTTAACTCATTACGACAACCTGTCTAGCCTCATTATTGCAATTAACTTGCACTTCTAAACGAACGTCCGCTGTGGTCGTTTAGAGACTTAATCATCATCCAGTCAAACTGGATAGTGGCAAACACATCATACGCAAGCACCTCTCTTTCAAAGATCGTAGAACGCTTCTTATGGTGCACGACTCAGAAATGCATGATCTTGTAGTTACTCAGCTTAACGCGCCCGCATGACTTTCCTGAGCGCGAATACTCCCAGGAAACCACAGCGTCGAACTGGTACTTGAAGAAGGAGCAAGGTACCACCGGATCTTCCGATAAAACTTTTTTCTAGTCCTAATTTACTTTTTAGATACGCCGGCAGTTTGTATACTTTTGCGCGGGCTTACTGTTTTACATCCGTAATGCGGGCTATTGCAAACTGATCGAGACTCAAACACTATCTCTGGAAAATGATTCACCTCTACCTTCCAGAGTGCGCTGTCATTTAACGTCCGGGTTCGGGCACATCTCGTTTACTACAATTGATGCACTAAAGCGAATGATGTCCACGGTTGTTTTGAGTTCCATGGTTTCCGATGGTGCAATGTCTATTCATAGACTGTTGCAAATATATATATATATATATATATATATATATATATATATATATATATATATATATATATATATATATATATAAAGCGAATGATGTCTTTGTGCGAGCACAGCTATTCTGGTGCAGATGACATTCATCCATCAACATTGATCGGTTAACCAGGCTATTCTTGCCCTGATGGGATGCAGGTTTCCAATATGTAGAATCAGCGGAACCTCACTTCAATCGTACCGAGTCCACGAATTACCCCCGATTACTCTCTTATGACTTCCAACGTTATGAAGTTTATTATTGTGGCGATCCTCATGAAGTACATAGATCTTACCTTATTCATTGCACGGATCAGCACCGTTTTCGCTGTCTCTGGTACGTATCGATTCCGCCGCTGAAGATTTTGACCATTCCGTTTTTACCTTATTCTTCATCTATACACGAACGTTCTGCCCGGGTCCTGATGTGCACTCACTTAGCCGTGAGCTGTGAATTAAAATGCCATGGACTCGACTGCAATAACTCACTCTACGATATCAGTATTGCTGTTAGACTACCTTGTGGTTTCATCTAAACAGGCCAGGTACTTGCAAAAGCACTCACCATGATAAGCATTTGCAGCAAATGTTCTAACACAAACTAAGACAGTTCATTCTGCGTATCGATTTAGTGAGGTGATGGTCAGTTTGCTGCAGTACACCCATTGGCACGTAAGTGTTCTCACTACTTCCTTACGATGCCGCGTACTCACCGGTGCTCGGACGTATTCACACTCCTCATTGACTATCCCGCCTGTTCGAGCCGTAACTCTTCTGACTGCAACGTCCGTAGTCCGCCTTTAGGCTGATATTCAGTCAGCTCTGCATCCATTTGATGCCTTAGATAGAAGCTTCGGCTTTTATATCGCGTTCTTGTGCCCCTTCGGTGGGGCTTAGTTTTCGCTACGCAAAGTGAGTAACCATCTCCAATGGTTATCTTGTGATTGAGAGTGCAAGCTGCATAGGTCCGGCAATTTATTTGCTCCATAACTGTTTTCTTTTTTTTGATGCCGTCTAATTCCTTGTTGCCCAGCCTCAATACGTAGGAAGTAGCCTTTCTTGCGAAATGTCGCGACTCCATTTTTTGTCTTTCCCCGTTTGGCACTTGGCTATTGTTATGGTTGGCTGTGTTTTATGCTTCGTACTTTGATAAGTTGGGAACGGATGCGCTTTGTGGATGAGTCCCACTCACACATTTCAGACGCAGTCTTGTGCGTGTGTTATACAGACAACATTCTCATCAAGATTGCACTAAACTTTCGCTTGCGCGGCTTCATGCTTCATGCGCCGACAAACTTGAACGACAAAACTGTCAGTTTGTTACACATGACCGCTTATTTTAGTGGTCCGCAGTGAGAAAACATCAGGTTCAGTTTGTCTTTTACCAGACCATTTGCTATCCTTATTGCCTACGCATAGGATATATCGCGACTCTGTTTTTGCAATCCCTACTTATTTTTGATGGTAGGCGTCGTTCTAGTCAGCTAGCGGGTGAAACTGGTTTCTAGCAGACCGTTAATGCGAACATTACTGCAAGCCAATCGAAAGGCGCAAGGTTAATTACTAAGACTTTCCCTTATAGCAGTTATCGTCTAGCTCTTTCTTTTATTGAATTAGAACGGAGGAAATGATTATCCGGCAAGTTCTCACAGGTTACTAACAGTAGTGTACCAAGGTGGTTACAGCTCATAATTGTGCTGTGTGGTTAGCCGATTGCGACGGTAAACTGGGGTATTCCACACACCTATGAGAGTTTATTACCTCACCAAATAGTGCTATAGCATTCTTCTTTGGACTAACGGCGATTGACGGCCTCCGGTTGATTTTTTCCTGGCTGTGTTAACATGATTATTTCTTGTTCGTTTTCTCCGTGCATTGGAATTATTTCATGGAAATTACCGTAACATTCCTTTTCATTTCTGGTTCTGGATTTTTTAACCATAGATACTTGTGTTGTCTCTTTTTTAACTTCGGAGGTTGTGCTATCGCTGTGCTCCACAATTAACCCTCCATCTTGGTCTGGGCATTTTTCATAATGCCTTGCGATTCATGTCCCAGTTTGTCGGAAGTCAAGCAAATGCACACACATGTGTTAGGTATTACGTTAACTTCCATATTTCATGTATTGGGCTATCGATTGAACAGTTTCGGCTTTTTCATGAAATTCAGCATGGTTTCGTTCAAGTTTTATGCACGAATTGCCGAAAAGTGATGCAACCATAGTCAGAGCCGAATCACAAACAGCCTTGCAGGGTGAGTCATTCCGTTGAGAGCAGCTTCGTGTGTTTGCCCCAAAAAGGTCAGAAGCGCCTCCAGGTTTCAGATAGGCTTTCCTGTTCGTCCCGTTCAAAATCATCGACACAAAGTCCCGCACCCCAACTGCACCTGACGCGATTAATTCACCTGTGTTGTATTCTACAGGCATAGATGTCCCAGTGTATGAAGACCTGTGTACTGAAGACATTTGGAAAATACAACAAAATGCATTCAGAAAAAAGTAAAAGAATTTAGCCGATGCAAATCAATGACAGGCCAGACCACGTGAAGCACGAGAAAATCCTCGTCCTGCCAGGTCATCTTTGTCCGACCAGAGACGTGCTCTTCCACGCGCCTGAGTCCAGTGATCCAACTCCCCAGGTACGATACGATTATGACGCCGAGTTTTGACAGAGCCTTCTTAACAGGCTCCTCGACGTGTTGGAGTTCGGTTTGAAAGTGAGGCAAATTACCCTTGTTGGAAAGAAAGATGATCAAAAAAAGTCGATCGATGAGAACCACGTTTGTGCACGAAGTCAGTCAGAGTCTTATCTTGTCCCGAGTAAATAGGTTGCGAGGTCGAAAGCTCCATGTTCTTCCGGTGGATCGCGAATGACTCAAGTCTGCCATCATTGAACTGAAGAGACAAAATGGTGATGGGGAAACGAATCTCCGTTTCGTAACTTTCCGGGTCGTTTCCAAAATTCCACCAGTCAGGATAAACAAGTTGCTGACACTTCAAACACTCCCGGTGGTTCCTGCTGCGGCCTGCGCGTAGCCTTTACCAGCATTTGTTGTCTTGTGAACAAGCGCGATGAACTCTGCCGTTTCGTTGCATCTAAGCGGCCAGACATAATAGCACTCGCAAAGACGTAGCTGAATTCTGAGGTGATGCCCAGAAAATCGAACTTAGTGGTTACTCATGTTTCCGTTCCGATAGACTATCGACTGCCCGCGGTGACGTCTTACTCTACATCCGGTCCTCTCTGTGTGCGAGAGTTGTGAGCGTCTACGGAAGCGATGATGGTCTGTGTGAACAGCTGTGTTGCTCGATCCATAGCTGCGGGGAGCTACTCGTGGGTGCATTTTTCCGTAGTTTCCTGAGCCGTTGTTTGGATTTGCTGTCTCATCTACGAAGGCACATGAGTCTTCCCCATTTTCTACTCATGCGTGATTTCTTTTGTCCTCGGATACGCTGGCCTGAAGTTGCACTTATGCCACGACTTTGCGAGGTTGAAACGAAGTTCGTGGACTTGGTACCTGAAAGTGGAGCAGTGCAACACCAATACCAGCCGACTAGAATAATACCGCGCTTATCTACGTCATGCACGGACTTGGTGTTAACAAGCTATGAACACCATCTGTATAACGTTCAGGTCCTAGACCCCCTAGCAGCAAGCGATCACTCAGTGCTCATGACCAGTATGGATCTGTCTTTACCGTATTCCTGTCCGCTGGAGTCAGCTTACAACTACTGGAAAGCTAACTTCGACGGTCTAACTCAAGCCACGAGCCAAGTAGATTGGTCTGTGCCTCAAACTGTATCTGCGGAAGACTGTTGAACTGGTATTAAAGAAAGACTGACATTACTGTATTCTCAGTTTGTACCATTAAAGTGTGGGAAAGTCGGGCCAGTCAAGCCGCATTTGTTCGATAATTAGTAGAGTAAAATGGATCGGAGGCGGTGCAAGTTGTGGGACAAATTCCTCCTCTCCAGCGCTTCCAGTGATTACGATGCGTATAAGAGACAGCGAAATATTTCAATAGTGCAAAGACGAGCAAACCCCGGCATTTCGAACTGCGGCTCGCCACCTCCACAAAGACTGCTCCGAAAAGAATATTTGCTTACGTGAAGCGGCGTCTCAAGCCAGCAGGTGATCTGCCAGTGCTAGTCGGCTCGGACGAACATCCTCTAACATCTAGCTTTGAGCGTGCATCCGCCTTGGCGACGCACTTCGCTTCCGTGTTTGCTAATGACCAGTTGTCTGTATCGTGTTTGACGTGTACCACGCTTACCGAACTCGACAGTCTGGTTTGCGGTGTTGAAGAGGTGCATCAACTACTCACCAAGCTTGACGGCACCAAACCTGTTGACCCTGAGTGACTCCACCTCCTGATTCTCAAGTCCCTATCGGCCATCATCTCACCCGCTGTGACTGACTTGCTCAACAGGTCACTATCGGATGGTTCATTGCGGAGCGAATGGAAATGCTCAGTGGTTTAGCCTATTCCAAAAGGCGGTAACCTCTGCAAAGTGGAAAACTACAGGCCGATTTGTCTGACACCTATTTTGACCAAGGTTTCCGAGAAAATCGTGAAGAAGGGTCTATTACAGCTGCTCACTTCAAAAGATCTATTGACGCCCGCGCAGCACAGATTTATGCTAGGCAGCTCATGCATTACCGACCATCTGGTGACGAGGCATGAATGGTTGCAGGCAGTAACTCAGGGGAAGTCTGTCGACATAATTTACATCGAATGCAGTAAAGCGTTCGACAAGGTAAACCATGAGGTCCTCCTCCACAAGCTGAGAATGTGCGGTGTTGGTGGATCACTGCACCAGTGGATCCAGGACTTTCTCGTTGGGCGAAAGTGGAGGGTACAGATCGACGGCCATCTAACTGACTGGTATCCCTCTACTAGTGGTGTACCCCAAAGCACGATGCTGGGACCAACTCGGTTCCTTATGCACATCATCGATCTACCACAGCTTCTTCGGTCGCCATGTGCCATATTTACAGACGACCTGAAGATTTGGAGAGAAATTAGCACTCCTGACGACTGCATCGTATTTCAGCACGACCACAACCGCCTCTCCGTGTGGTCTGCAGAAGTCCGCTTCCTGGTCAAACCATCCAATCCGCTATTTATGAGCATGGGGAAGGGTGGTGATGGCTGAATTTACACCATTGACGACCAACCGCTACATCCCACACCTCACGTGAAGTTTGTTGATAACACAATCAGACTATATCGTAACGGACTGCGCATGCTTTGGGCGATCAAACGCAGCTTCTGTACTTGGTCTGAAGAGGTCGCCACTCGCCTCTTCTCTTCCATCATAAGACCAATACTGGAGTACGGCTCACCTGCCTACTGCCCAATCACTCGAGGCGAGGCACAGAAGATCGAATGGATCCAACACGTCGCTACTAGGCTCATTCCAGGTTTACGGGAATTATCATACGAAGACCGGTGCGCGAAACTCGGACTCTACACCTTGTTATATCGCCGGGTACGAGTCGATCTCATCGTGATCCACTGTATATTACACCTCGATGACTTACCCATATTGAGACCGCTACTTTCTTTATGAACTCCGTGCAACACACGCGGACACCGGTACAATTTTGTGGTGCCGGATGTAAGATGATTGCCCCACCCTCCTGTGCTTTGGACGGAGAGTGGTAATTGTTTGGAACAGTCTGTCAGAACAAGTCGTGTAGGCTAAATCTGTACAACGGTTCAAAATGTTATTGGATTTATATTTCAGCCCCATTCGATTCAGAGAACGATTGCACACTAGCAGTGACACCTTGAGTTTGTGGAACCTGTAAATCTATAAGTCAGATGTTCTAAACTGCTTCATTAGAACTTGTCGAACTATTCGATTATCACGGAGTGCAGGCACCTTTAATAACATTTTTGTCTATATATTGCGATAGAGTTGTGCATATTTGTATTTCTACTCGCTCCCACATACAGTATTCAGTATTCAACCGGAACATGGTTGCACTTCACCTTAGGCCGTCGCTGTCATCAGCAAATAATCAAAGATTGTGTAGATGGCTTTCAGCTTATCCCCGCATCAGTTTTGGTCTGTGTGCATTCGTCCGCTTGGACAGACAGAGTTTTACACCGGAGGCACCTTACGCTCCCAATCCACTTGAAGAGGCAGTGAACAGTTTGTTTAAGACGAACCCCAATGTTCTTCATTATGGAGTCTAGCTCACATACTGTATTGTTATTAATAGAGGCTCGTTAACTATTTCAAACGAATCCAACTGGATTTAGTAAGTCAACTCAAGATAAGTCTTATATATTCGGATGGTCGCACTTTCAACACTCTGCACCATCTACTACTAAGAGCTAAAACAGCATCATTGAATACGCAAAATTTCGCAAACGGGAAAACAAAATGGGGAAGAATCTCACCGTATTCACTCGTGCAAACAGCCCAACACCTTCGAGCAAAGGTTGAATGGGAATGAAGAGAATTATAAGAATTTTTATCCCGTTGACGAGGTTAACTATTTTTGAAACTTATCTTGACAGATAGTTTCATTTTGAGTAAAGTAACAAACAGTGATTTGCTCGCGGTGCCTCGAAGGATTTTTTCAAAGAATTGACTGAGTTAAACTGTCCTAGTCGCCTTTCAGATTGTTCAGCCAAAGAACTCGCCTTTATGTTCATACAAATTTGCTATGTTCATAGTTAAAAGGCCAAAATTCGGTGTTTCTGGGAGAACAGTAACAATCAATTTAATGGCATCGCCATCATGACTGCACTACTTACCGGGGCTTTATGCGCTGACAAACTTGGAGGACAAACCTGTCAGTATTTTACGTGCAATTGCCTCAATCGATTGGCCTTAGTTTATTTCCTTATTTTTTATACTACTCAGAAAATCGTGTGTGCATTCTCGCATAACTGTCATATAATACAACTTGTTTTCATCGGAATCTTACTAAAAAAATGACGGTCCAGATCGGCATGCCATGCCAATCACACAAACTAGCTATTTACCGGGATTCGAAATTTTACAGTTATTCGTCTCGTTGTATTTTACTCGACCAATGTCTATTGTTCAATCTTCGTGTTTCCTAGGGACTGTTTCATTTTCAACTAGCATCTGGGAACTACACACAGTGGATTTCAACTGAAATTAATTCCTTTACTACCTCCCCAATCATTTGCAGCATCCAAGGTGCCTTTCAATTTTTTACTCATGGTCACGTTCCGTTCATGCAGTATTACATTGAGATAAAAGGTTGCTACATACCGCTTCCTTTAAACTCTTTGGCGTAATTTATCACTTTTATTTCACAGAAAGCCAGACATTCACGAATAGCGCAAATGCGCATTGCAACTGAAAGTGCCTTCACCGAAGGGAAACAGAGGTACGAGGAGAGTCGAACGTTTGTCTGTGCTGCATATGATTCTTCACGCTCCGTCGATCCGCATCCTGAATCGATAGCGCTTGAGGAATTGACGACCAACAGCAAAAGTGATTTATCATTTGGATCTTCTTCAAAGGATTCGAGGCATGGACCGGATTCCGACGCAGACGATAAAAAACGACCGGATATTTTTGAAGAACAGTATTTCCATCTTATTGAGTGCCTTCAACGAGTCACAGTACGTTTTTAACGGTTTTCAAGCCTCATGTGTACTAAACCAAGTCAGGTTATGATATAATGGTTGCCAAACTGCATCAGAAGCTCAAAGCTGTCTGCGCACTTCCTCCATGAAGTTCTTTTGTCCCGCTTCCTAAGTTAACCAGCATCTTAGGTTCGCACACGGATACTTAGTTTGTAGCTCTTCTGGTCTTATCTGTCGACTTAACTGTTTCTGTTCCAAATTTGTTCTATTTCACAATATTCTCGTCCCCATCGTTTTTGTTTTTCGTCAATTAACTATGTGTTTAATTCTGTTGGCCTTTATTTTGGTAACAACAATAGTTGCTCATCTCCCGCCATTGACCTTCGACAGCTGTCTTGCCATATTATGCAATGTATTTTCCTCTGTATACAAAACATATCATTGGAAGTTGATTCTTCAGTGTAGTTAGGGGACAATGCTTCCTCTTTGACAAAAATACTTCCCAAGGCCAAGTGGAACCATAGTTTTACCATCGGTTGGTTAGTGTTTTACTATTCCAAATATTCTCTTACCTGATTTACGTAAGAACCGTCCAACTATGTTTGTCTAGCTGCTGGAATGATCGAAACTGCTCCACCTTCTCCATATCGTCATCTCAGTTGCATGTAGGGGGGTTAATTCCTCCCAGATTTAGGTGAAAACGAGCCCCTGATATTTCCAGTAGTAGCTAATGCAGGCTTTGGTCTTACAATCTATAAGTTGCGTTGTTGTGTTCCACAGTTAGCCACACAACGTTCAGTTGCTGTGGACAGTAATCGATGTCTTGGGAGCTAGTACGACACATCGTATTTTTCGCTCTACCTTACGGGCTTAGCATTACAAGTTCATTCGGTTGTGATGCCAGATGTCACTTTCCACTGTGCCTATTCAGATGCACCTCTGCAATCGAAATACTATTTACCCACCATTTTCTATGAGTTCTAATCGCATTTAATGCGACTTTATGTGCTGTTCTATCCCTAAAGGGATTCGAAGTTGTCCCTGGTGTTTCGGTGACCAGTGAGCAAGACTTTCGTCATATGTTCCTGGGCAAAGGAGTTCAAGTTGTCGAGAAACGCAAATCAACCTTGGACACAGACAAGCGTCCCGGTCGATATGTGAAGAGCTGTTGTGGACAACACACAAATTCCGAGTAAGTAAGATGGGAACACGTGCATCAGCCTCGAAACCGTATGTCCGACTTTATGAGTTTGTTTTTGAGCATTTCTTTTGAAGCTTAGCGGATATCCGCAACTGATCCCGGAAACCGGTGTGCAGCTTCGCTTATTGTTTGGAGCACTGTGTTTCCTTTGCGGATATTTCGCATTCTCCTCATCGAACTCCGTTTAAAGGGGTACTGTTTGTTTGGAGCCGAGGCGACAGCGAAGGATTTTTCGTTATACTTTGGGCTTACAAGTGCATCCTCCTTGTTCTAACCTACGCAATGTGAGAACAGGTGTGTGGTTGAGTTTGATAATTCATATACGCGTTATTTTGGCAAGTTTTCAACGTGGAACTTCCGGCCCTAAATGCACCCCAACCTTGTTTTTGCCACCTTCGTCCTCTTTTTTTTGCTACCTGCAGTGAGGGGGTATACCTAAGTCCTCGATTAAATCCGAGGCTTTGATTCGCATCGGACCTTTTTAGCGCCGCACGTATATCAGCTTAGTAAACAAGTGGTACTAAAAATATAATACGCTTTCTTGGGACTTATCTGTGTCACGTCACCGAAATACGTTTGCTCGCTATACAAGCACTGACCCTAACCAATGCAGATCATATCACTGTTAGCTACAGGTGATGCGTGTCAGTCCAAGGTTGTCGGTATCTGTGGACCGTCCATCTTCATTCTGACCACGTTACAGTGTACACTGTTGCACCCCTTTCTCAAACGAGGCCACCAACTTCTAGATTCTCTTTGTTGTCATAACTCGTTCTTCAATGCAACTTTAACAATCCTTAAATAACTGTGGTTTGTCACTGGCAAACTACTTTTAATGCGACGCATATCAGTTGGCATTTCCCACACCGTTTCATGAGGAAATTACTAGAGGCATTCACCCGCGTGACTTGACTCACCCTGATAACTTCCTAACTTCTGAAGCTTACATAAGCGTTTCTGTATTGAGATGACGATTCCACCGTGGTGCATCTTGCATGATACCCGTAGTTACCCGCATCGGCATCTGAACCAGCGCTCCTGGCTGTTCGGGATCCTAGCTAGATGACCAGCCTCCCGAGTTTAGACTGTTGTCGTCGATGCCAAACGAATACTAGTCTTCCTCACGCTCAGCACCAGTCCAGCTCATGCATCTATGCTTGTGACGGCTACAGAATTGCCGACCATTACTCGATTCTTAGACCCGTCAATCAAAGTACTGCGGTGAACAATTCCTTTGACCGGCGGTGTCACTAATTCTTGCCACTTCATATGTAACTAGTAAAATCGATGCTATCCCAAGCCCCCATTGCTGAAGCGATTCAGCATGAGCTTGCTTTACCGAAACGAAACTAGGCCCGTGAAGCCGTTGGCCTCCTTTTGTTTTTATTAGCAGCCATCGTTGACGCGCTTGTGTTTGTTCTTTTCCTTCACTTACGTATGAGGCATTGTGGAATTGCCTTCGGATTTCTGATCATCGTCACTTTTCTTGCTGGCTATAGACTATGTTGCAGAACCATCGATGCCTCAACTCTATTATCACACACCTAACCCGTTCATTGGCTTCCTGTATCTGCTCATCACTTGTGTCCACTAGATTTGAATCGGTGAATTACTGATCAACATCCACCACCGTATGTGTAGCCGTAATCACATCTCCATGAATCGCCTCATCATAATGAGACTAGACTTTCACGTCGTTCGTTGGTCTGCGTACCCCTGTGACCCATTGAGCTACCCTGGGTGACACTTAAGTAGCCTTAACCACATCTCCATGAGTCGCTTCATCGTAATGAGACTAGACTTCCACGTCGTTTGTTGGTTTGCGTACCCCTGTGACCTATTGGGTTACCCTGGGGACACTTTGCAGTGCCTTCAGAGCTGTTCATACCAGACAGGTCAATGGTTAGGTGTCACACTAACTCAATCTCACCATCCAGTACTCTTCGGAGGTTATGGGGAGGTCGATGGCCCTCTTCGCTTACAAACTATCCAGGTGAGGCAAAAGTTTTACCAGTACTAAGCTCACAACTCGGTTGGCGTAGAGCACGTACGCCACGCATTGTCTCTGGCTGTGGGAAGACGCTACCCGGTGGTTGATGGTTTGCTGCCACAAGCTAGGCACCCTTCGTTCAAATTGGTACAAACGCGCCCACTCCCATCTGCAGGTGGCCATGATCACAAGTGCGTAAAATAATGCGGTCTTAAAACACATGTGTATTGTTCTGAATCTTCAAAGACTGTATATGGAAGACCTCAAGAAAATCCTAGTGGATCTCTGCAATCACACTCCCGAGCTAGACTTGCTCCCCTCTGCCTTGTGGATCAAGCCACGCGTATTGTACTTCAAACGAATTTCCATACACCCCACTGTTGAGTCAAAGGCTACAGGCAGGACACCTCGAACCTAACCCATGTCTCGGAATGGTCAACTGGAAATTATCATCTGCTCTCTCGATCCCTTCGACAATACTCCCTGTTCTCTTTGTTTTACTCTCTCCGCTCAACTTCTTCCTAGACTGTTGAGCAAGAGGCTGCTGTCAACTTCGTGACTGATGCCGTCGGCGCTTGTAACACGCCCCTCAAATCAAAGATCTCATTTAACATTGATTCATCCAGCGTCGGCACTCTGGATCATCAGATCGGCCACAAGGCAGCACTAACTCTCGCTCATCACTCGTGGTATTGTGTTTTATTTCCGAATCACGCGTATGTGATAACTGAGTTGCGACGAATCTGCAGACAATGACTACACTCTTCTCGTCTCCGGCGATACCGAGTCATTAGCTCAGGGTATTAACGATGTTGGTATCGTCCTCAGCAAACATCTCGACTGGATGCCGGTGAATAGCTAGATGTGCTGTTGCGCTACGAACTTCTCCTGGGGCCAGGAAGCTGGTAGCTTCCCGGAACAATCCCAATCCGTTACTGGCGGCACAGCTGGCGTGCCTCTGTTGCAAGATTTTTCTTCATTTCTTATGTCTTGCGGTACAATAGCTGATGTGTTTCTCCATCTCTAGCTAACCTGTATAATCACTGAATGAATCATGGGGCTAGGAAACACTGTCTGAAGACAACCTGCCTTTTCATAGCCTCCTTTTATGCCCCTACTGGCTGCAGTTGAGCTGATATCATAGACGATTTATATTGTCAACACTCATCCCTTCTCCATGTGGCGAAATTTACTAACCTCGTGATTTTCGCCGGTGCCTTAAATGCCAAAGTGGGTCGTCTTTCGGACTCTGAACAACACCTGGGAGGCCGCCGAACTGGCTGTAGTGATCAATTCTTGCAACTGTGCACCAACCACAACCTTTACTTAGAAGCACTTCTTTCCAGCACAAACATTCACATCGCGTTACCTGGCTTTCACTTAATTTCTCAGTGACCTGGACTGAAATTGACAATATTTTCATCAGATAGAGATGACACAAATCAGTCCAAGACCGTCGGTCAATTCGGAGCATGTCCCTGGATCTTGACCATGCTCTAGTGCAGCACGCTTGGCGTTTACTCTTCTCGCTTCAATGAATTGCTTAACTACTATCCTACAACTCGAACTGGCAGTCTGCAGTTCAACAATCTCATGACAATCTGGCCCATTAATTGTTGGTGATGAATAAGTCTGGTGAGCGGAAGGTTGACTGAGATCGTCTCAAGTTTGCCATGAAGAACGCTTTTACACCTGCTGTGCACCCAATTTGAGATGTCGTAACTGCGAATGGGTCTCTGATCCATTGCCCAGTTTGATCGAAGCACTGGAACAGGTTCCAATGCACATTGTGTTTCCGCATGTAGTAACGTCCTGAAACCACATCTGACAAGGAGTCTTCGAACCGACTGGGAACGTTGGCGGATCGCAAGGGCCCGTGAGATGGAGAAAGCCAGTGCCATTAGGAATAGCCAAGTACTATTCTAGCTCATCCGGAACACGGGTCCAAAGAAGCCCACAGTTAGAGATACAATGGCTGAGAAAGAGGGATATTTGATCCATTCTCAGCGTCGTCGATTAGCTCGTTGGTAGAAACATTTTGCGGAGCAGTTCAGCAAGCCTGCTGCGACGCTGCCGTTTCCCAAAATCATCTGGGCCGACATGGGAAGTGCATGTAACACCTCCCACTTCAGAATAGACTCGGTATGAGCTTCCGATATTGAAATGTAACGCGGTTGCTAAAACTGGCAATCTTCCCCCCTCTTGGCTGAAAGGTGTAGGTGATTAGACTTACTACTCTGTTCAACACTATCGGGACACTGAAGAGGTTCCTTCCGACTTTCGACTGTCAACTGTCGTGTCCATCTTCAAGAAGCGTCAGCGTACTTTGTACGAAAATCATAGAGGCTCTAGCCTTATTTCCATTGCCTCCAATCTTCTCATGGATATCACTCTTCGATGACTTACCGAATCGTTGTAATCCAGACTGGTTTCCCCATCGCAATGAGGCTGGACCTTACCGTGGTGCGATGGTTTGTGTTCCTCAGCGATCCATTGAGCTATGCTGGGTGGTGCTTTTGCACCTTCAGAGTCACTCATACTAGATTGGTCAATGGTTAGAGGCCAGACAAACTCAGCCTCCTGGTCCTCCAGGTTGGGGGTTGGAATGAGGGTGACACTTTATTCCTTAAAACGGACTCCTTTTAGCCCAACGCCAAACCCGCTGCCTTGCAGTTAGGTTTTTGTACCAAAGGCTTTGGTTGAGAACCCTAATCGTTCTCCTGTCTAGGCGTGGGCAACGTGACAATATCTTGTCCACGTAATACTATGAATCATTCGTCAAACAGTTACTTTATGCTCTGGCCACCGCAGAGGATAATCAACGGTGCCCTATCTGCTGCATCGAGCAAGGTGGATAGGGGTTTGGTTGCTACTGCGCAAGCCTTCACGTCTTCTTATTCCCCCTCTTACGCTTTTTCACTCTTACAGTCCCGTTCCAACTTCACTTATATCCCCCCCCCCAGTTTTCAACCCCCTATTCTTGACCCGCCCCCAACATGCTTTGC